TGGTTAGGATAGATATATAGTTACATTCTCTTAATGAATAGAGGGATTTGTTCTAATGGTGTTTGTAAATAGGATATCATGTCTGCATTTTGTACAGCAACTAACCACTAGGAAGAATGTATGCAATGTGTTAATTATTGAAACTGACCTACCAATTTAGTTTGAAACTGTCTCATTACTATTTGTTTCTCAATAAAATTATGGAAAAATAAAAATTTTTTAAAAATGTATAATGCCACAGTCTCCTGTATAGCATTGAACAGAGTGTTTGCACTGTCCTAAACACAACCTATAAATCTGTTCTGTGTACACAACCTATAAATCTCTTTCCCTACAAACCACTGATCCTTTTATTATTTCAATTATTTTCTCTTTTCCAGAATGTCATAGATTGGAATCACAGTTTCTAGCCTTTCAGATGGAATCTTTTTGCTTAGTAATATGCATATAAGTTTTTTCTGTGTCTTTTTTGGCTTAATGCCTGAGTGCAAGTAAATATTCCATTGTCTAGATGTACAACAGTTCATTCACCTTCTAAAGTTGCTTCCAAGTTTTGGCAATAATGAAGAACACTTCTATAAATGTTTGTGTGCATATTTTTGGGGGGACATAAGTTTTTCCCCTCATTTGGGTAAATACCAAAGAATACATTTGCTGGACATATGGTAAGAGTATTGTGTTAGTCAGCTTTCTACAAATGCTGTGACAAAATACCTGAGAAAACAATTTAAAAAGGGAAAGATTTATTTTGGCTCATAGTTCTGTGTTTTCGGGCTGTGGTTGGCTGGCACCATTGTTTCTGGGCCTGTGGTGAGGCAGCACATTGTGGCATAAGGGCATGGCAGGCCAAAGCTGTTCACTTCCCGGGAGCTAAAGGCAGAATAAGGAGGGGCCGAGACTTAGTATGTCTTCCTGTGAGGCATGCCCCACATGATCCACTTCCTCCAGACAGGCCCCATCTCCTGATTTCTGCCTCTTCCCAATAGTCCAGTCAGTTATGAAGCCATCAATGGAATTGGAATCCTCATTCATGTCCCCAAAGCTCCAACTCTAAACCCTACTGGCCTGGGAGCCTTTGGGGGCCACTGGAGATCCAGCCTTTAGCAATATGTTCAGTTTTCAGAAAGATAATCATGACTTTTTGCTTTTATTTATTGAGGTATATATTATATATAATATATTTATCTCCAAGAATTTAATGGATAGTATTAGATACTAATTTTTTATAATTTTATATTTTGCAACAGATAATCATTTGCCTCAGTGTAATTTTTTGAACAGTCCATTTTTTCTTTTTTTAATTTGTGGCTTCTAGCACATAATAAATTTTCCATTTATATTTTATTCCATTCCTGGACTTTTCATTTACCTGTACTGAAAAGCTAACATGTAGGATAAACCATAAAATTAAAATATGTTAACTATAGTGAGATATAAAAAATAAGGTGGGAAAGAGGGACAAAAACTAAATTTCACTAAATACATCTTGTTTTTAGATGTGTCATTAGAAATCAGGAAACATTTTATAGAATTGTAAAACAAAAAAATCTAAAAATGTAAAATAAAGTTAAATGTACTGGTTATTTTGTTTTGAGATGTTGGTATTTTGCTGAGATTATTTTGAGGATAAAGTAGGACTAAATCAATGAGTTCCTATGTGATACTATATTTCAATCACTTTTGGTATCCTCAAGAATTGAGATTCTCAGCTTGAGAAAAAAGAGGTATGGATATGAGATAAGAGATTGTCGTGACCTAGTAGGTTTGAATTGAATTAGAAGTATATCAGCATAGATCATTATAGATTCCCATAGTTCAGCATATCAGTAAGCTGAAGAAAAAGTCATAAAATGTTCTCAGTGCACGTAATGAAATTTTTAACAAAAGTCAGTACCCATTTATGAAAAACTTGGCAAACTGGAAATTAGAAAATGGGCAAATGATTTGAAGACTCATTTCAACAAATGCATGTTAAATAAGCACATGAAAAGATGTTCAACATCATTAGCCTTTCAGAAAATAATTTAAACATGCAGTGAAATATCAAAATGGATAAAATAAAAAATAGTAACATCAAATGTTGATGAAGATGTGGAGGAATTAAATCACTAATATATTACTGGTGGGATGCAAAATGGTACAGCTACTCTGGAAAGCATCTTGGTAATTTCTTATAAAACTGTGAATATGTGACTACCATAGGACCCAGCAATGTGCTACGGGGCATTCATTTTGGTGATTATCACAGAGAAATAAAAGTTACTTATATCATACAAAAACCTGTTCATAAATGTTCACAGAATCTTTATTATAATAGCTCAAATCTAGAAACAATATAGATGTCCTTTAATGAGCCAACCTTCCATGCTATGGATACTACTCAGAAAGGAAAAGGAAAAAAATAATGGATATACACAACAATCCAGATGAATCTCTAGGAATCATGTCAGGTAAAAAAAAAAATCCAGAAGGATAATACTTAGGCTTACATTGGTGTAATTTTTAAAATGTTAAAATTTAGAAAAGAAGAACAGGTTATTAGAAACATATTAGGGGCTATAAAAGGAGGAAGGTCTTCCTGATGGTGACAGAAGTGTCCTGTATCCTAACTGTATCAATATTAGTATCCTAGATGTGATTTTTAAAAACTTGTTCTCTTGTTCGCTGTCAGGACCTGATTCTATTTTACGATGAAGATCCAAAACCACCCTTGCCAATAATACCTCCTTGTATTACCTCTTCAACTACATGGTTGTCAGATGGGGAAGTGGAAGTCTCCAACCTCTGTGATGCAGGTAATTTGGCTAATGGATATGAAGTTAATTCATAAATATGAATAAGAAGCACTGAGCTGGGATACTGCACAAATAAAAACTTTAATTTATGAAGTAAATCAACAGTTGGATTTTATTTAACATTGGTAATGAGGAAAAAGAAGTAGTGTAGATATAAATTCAACCCTCCTATGGTCCTACATTTTTATTTTCCCATTTGTTTTAGTATTTTTTTCCTCTTTTTGCTGTTTTGTGAAATAATCACAACCCTTAAGTTTTTAAACAAAAGGTTAAAATGGAACATTTATTTCACTTTCTTGTTTTTATTAACTTCTTTTTGATAGACGTGTGACACCTTTCAAAAGCAGGCATTAAGCAAATGCATAAAAAGACAAGAAGTGTGTTGCCTGTCCCACAAATGGCTGAACCATCTTTCAAATAATTAACAGTGGAAAAAGGCACAGTGTCAAAGTGTACAACATTGGCCTCCAATAAATTACATTGTTGAACTGGGCTCTACTGCTAGTCAAGCTCTTCTAGGATCTGATTCCTAGTTGAGCCATTCCTTCCTGTCCTTACTGTCCTTGAACTCTCAATTCACAATACATTTTTCTCTTGATTTTCTCAAGATAAAAAATGTTCTCATTATTACCTTTCATCCCCTCCTGTGTCTTTGCTTTTACATTTGTCCAGGATCCTTTCTCTCATCAAGAGGTTGCTCCACATGTTTTAAATTTCACCTCCCTCTTCTTGGACCGTGTACCTCAGAATTTCCCCCTGTATAGTCACAATACCCAAAATATAAAAGCTATAGTGCATTAGTATAGAATTTACTTTACACATCCACATAAATTTTTTTATAAAGCCAGTTGTGAGAACAATGAAGATATCTTTGTAAAGACAAAAGCAAGAAATTGAGGGTTGTGGTCATATAGGTATAAAGAAGTCATTCATAGGAATATTTAGTAACAAATGATTAGAATGGTTTTCTTGGTAGTCTTATAATGCACTTCAGGTAAACAAATCCTTAATCCAAAAGCTTGAAAGAACAGGAAGGAAAACTTTCGTATCTAACATTGCAAAACATTTTTCCCTCCTAAGATTTTTAAAAATAGATTTTCTTTTTGAGAGCAGTTTTAGATTCACAGAAAAATTGAATGAAAAGTACAGAGTTCCCATATGCCATATCCCCACACAAGCATGGCATCTCCACCATCAGTATTCTGCCCATTCGTTACAATTAATTAACTTATATTGACACACTGTTGCCACTCTAAGTCCCTAGTTTACATTAGAGCTCACTCTTGACGTTGTACATTATATAGGCTTGAACAAATGACATGTGTACACTATTAGAGTATTGTACAGAGTAGTTTCACTGCCTTAAAAATCCCTCTCTCCCAGCCTCTTTCCTTTCCAGTGTATTATACATATATAGTCTTTCAGATTGGTGTCTTTCTTTTCTTTCCTTTTTTTCTTTTTTCTTTTGGCAGAACTGGGTATTGAACTCAGGCCCTTGCACTTGCCAGGGAAGCGCTTATTCTACTGAGCCATCTCCCAGGTCCCCCCCCCTTTTTTTTTTAGTCAACTGGGGCTTGAACTCAGGCCCTTGCACTTGCCAGGTAAGCACTTACTCTACTGAGCCATCTCCTCAGCCCCAGGTTGGTATCTTTCATTTAGCAACTGTATTTAAGTTTCCTCCATGTCTTCATGGCTTAGTAGGTCATTTCTTTTTAGTGCTGCATAGGACAATATACCAGTAGTATTTATTCACCTATTTCAGGACATCTTGGTTGCATCTAAGTTTTGGCAGTTATGAATAAAGCTACTTATAAATATCTGAGGCAGGTTTTGTATGAACATAAACTTTCTCCCCACCATTTTAATACAAGTGAAGATACACTTAAGAGGCAACCCAGAAGAGGGAGAAAAAAAATTCAAAAAACATATTGCCTGAGGGATGCTCCCATTTGGCTTGGCCAGAATACATCTTTATTAGAGGAAGTTTCTCCAATCTCTCCTTGACACTGGTCTCTGAGGTATCTTGCTGAAATGCAGTTTTTTGCATTTCATTTTTCATCTTATAAATTTTCAACAGTTCTCTATTTCGAATAGAATGACTGAATTTTTTTCATACTGTCACAGTAAAGCATTCATAGTCTAATCCTAGCCAGTCTTTCTGGCCTCATTAAGACTACCAATACTAACAGTGCTCTGTGATGCCCCATTACTTGGGTAGTTTTCACTTGAGAATGTCTTTGTTCCAGTTATTTTGGCTGTGTAATGCATTGTCATAGAAGTTTGTTTTATAGGATAACCACTTATTGCGTTCATGGATTCTCTGGGTCAGGAATTAGGGCAGAGAACAGTGGGAATGGCTTGTCTTTGCGATCTACATCTGGGCTTCAGCTGGGAACTCAGGCTGGGGGCAGGAATTATCTGAAGATCTGCACACTCATGGTTCTGCAGTTGCCCCTGGATATTGACTGGGAGCCTCAGTGCCTCTCTGTAGCGGCCTTTCCATGTGATGTTTTTACCCATGGGCTGGTTTGGGCTTCCTCACAGCGTGGTGGCTGGGTTGCTAGTGCGAGCACCCTGGGGAAGTAAGGACCCAGCAGAAGCTGAATAATCTTGAAAGTCATGCTGTGGTGTTCCTTCTCCCACATTCTGTTCATCAGGCAATAACAAAGTCCTGCCCAGGTTTATCCTCTTCATGGAGGATTGTCGGCCATCATATGGGAGGAAAAAGGATATATGCTGATAGAGTCATCTTTGGAAAATATTTTACCAAATATTACACAATTGACAAAGCTCTATTCAAACAGAAAGGTCCAGCAAAAATATCATCAATTCTATGAAATCTTTCTTTTATGTATTTATTTATTTTTTGATGGAACCAGGGATTGAACTCAGGCCCTTGCGCTTGCCTGGGAAGCACTTTATTCCACTTAAGCCATCCCCCTGGCCCCAATTCTATAAAATCTTTCTATACATTTATTTCTCCTTTCACTATATCTCCACAGAATTTTTCTCATATCTCTATTACAGAATTTATAAATTTATATAATAACTTTATAAG